TCAGACAAAACTTTGCTGGAAAGTGGAACTGTCTTCAGTCAAAACTTTGCTGGAAAGTGGAACTGTCTTCAGTCAAAACTTTGCTGGAAAGTGGAACTGTCTTCAGACAAAACTTTGCTGGAAAGTGGAACTGTCTTCAGTCAAAACTTTGCTGGAAAGTGGAACTGTTCTCAGTCACAACTTTGCTGGAAAGTGGAACTGTCTTCAGTCAAAACTTTGCTGGAAAGTGGAACTGTCTTCAGTCACATCTTTGCTGGAAAGTGGAACTGTCTTCAGTCACATCTTTGCTGGAAGGTGGAACTGTCTTCAGTCAAAATTTTGCTGGAAAGTGGAACTGTTCTCAGTCACAACTTTGCTGGAAAGTGGAACTGTCTTCAGTCAAAACTTTGCTGGAAAGTGGAACTGTCTTCAGACAAAACTTTGCTGGAAAGTGGAACTGTCTTCAGTCACAACTTTGCTGGAAGGTGGAACTGTCTTCAGACAAAACTTTGCTGGAAAGTGGAACTGTCTTCAGTCACAACTTTGCTGGAAGGTGGAACTGTCTTCAATCAAAATTTTGCTGGAAAGTGGAACTGTCTTCAGACAAAACTTTGCTGGAAAGTGTAACTGTTCTCAGTCACAACTTTGCTGGAAGGTGGAACTGTCTTCAGACAAAACTTTGTTGGAAGGTGTAACAGCAGCAGTAGGCCATTTAATGTTTAGTGTAAGAATAAAGAAATACTCAAACAAACAGGGCCAAAATTCGGAGCAATGTGTTAGCTCTGGTGTTTGGTCATCATTTTAGTCAAAGTTTTACATCATTTGGGATGACAGAGAGCAAATCTGTGTTGAGACAGAGAGGGAGCCATCAAACCTGAACTCAACGGAAAAACTATATTTGAAAAGGCGCGGTAAAGCTACACTAGTGAAAGCTAAATAGTACACTTCAGTTCTGTACTTAATAACTAGCACCTGACAACTTCAGGACAACATATAATTGAGTCAAATTAGTGTCAGTTAGCACATATCAACCCGTATCTCCAATCAACATTAGCTGAAATTAACTGGAGAACATTTTTCAGAAGTACACAATTTGCACGGTCAGTCAGCTTTTCTAAAACTCATGACAGTATATCAGAGATGAGATATTCTGGTAAGTGGTAACTCGACTCTGTAACACAGGATACCAGTTGTAATCCACAGATGTTGACTGCCATCCAATCAAGCTCCGCTTATTGAGTTGTAGAAGTGTATGGTAGTGTTCCTTGATAACGGACCATTTTTGTACGAGCATGGCACATTACTTTTATACGTGTTACAAAACACAAAAACTGAGATTTCAAATCATTCACTGGTCACCACGATGTGTTTTGAAAATCGATAACATCATATCGTGCCCTGGACATGAGCAGCACAAATTGTAGGCGATGACAAGTTATTTTCTCTACGCAAAAACTTAAGCATCAATCAACAGTTAAGTAAGAGGTTAGAACACAAGTTGGATAAGTAAATGATATCATAGGGTACTATCTAACAGCAACAGCACCTAAAGATTATTTCCCAACTGTCGGCCAAGACAATTTAAAGGAACAATAATAGGATTAAATTCCATGAAAAAGTGCACGTTTTGTAAAAAGTGCACGTTTTGTAAAAAGTGTACGTTTTGTACTAGTAAAGAGCTACGAGGTAGAAACTGCGAAGAAAGACAATGTAGATATCATGAAAAGGCGTAAGAACAAGTCGGGCTATACGCTAGTATCCAGATTCGCTCAGTAAAGGATGAAAGGACGGAAGCCATTATTACGAAGGAAACATCAGTCAAAGAGCAAGTCTAGCCAACCAACTGGCTGGTTGGTGAAACATGTCTGAAAGGCAAGGAACCAGCAGCGGGGGACCACCAAAGAGGGCGACCAGATAGCCACATTATGCCATCATGTACAGCCTAGATAACTAACTCTTGAATTAGAACCACTGATCAACAATAACTACGCCCATGAATAAAATAGGATAAAATAGTCATTTCAGAATGCTTCATTCTTCTTTAAGAAGAAGACGTATAATGTAGAATTAGAGAAAGCGAGGTACAGTAAAACAAAAGCGCAAAAGAGTCACCCTACGATGTACTCTCTCTCTCTCTCTGCCTCCCTCTGCCACTCTCTCTACCTCTCTCTCTCTCTCTCTCTCTGACTTGATGGAGTGCCGACAGGTAAAACCACCATTTGCTAGCCCTCAATACTCTCATCAGCTGTCATCAGTCTCACACACGCCTGCTGAAGACACCCTAGACTGTACTGAGTAGGGTGTGGGGTGTAGGGTGTAGGGTGTAGGGTATGGGGTGTGAGGTGTAGGGTGTAGGATGTGGGATGTGGGGTGTGGGGTGTAGGGTGTGGGGTGTAGGGTGTGAGGTGTAGGGTGTAGGATGTGGGGTGTGGGGTGTGGGGTGTAGGGTGTGGGGTGTAGGATGTGGGGTGTGGGTGTAGGGTGTGGGGTGTAGGGTGTGGGGTGTGGGATGTGGGGTGTACTGAGTGGGGTGTGGGGTGTATGGTGTGGGGTGTGAGGTGTAGGATGTGGGGTTTGGGGTGTAGGGTGTAGGGTGTAGGGTGTGGGGTGTAGGGTGTAGGGTGTGAGGTGTAGGGTGTGGGGTGTAGGGTGTGGGGTGTGGGGTGTAGGGTGTAGGGTGTGGGGTGTGGTTACTTCCAGCCTTTTGTTTTACAAGTGAGAGATTCCCAGACCATATTTACACGGACACAATTTGAGGTAGCTTTTGGGCTTTCGAGTAACTAAACTTTGATAGGTTAAAATTTGGGCCAGCCGTAATCTAACAGGTCCGAGTAAACTACGAAGCTCGCTGTCCTGTACGGGTATTGAGTAAGCCAAGACTGTGACCTCGCCTTAGGCGCACACCATTTCACGCCAAAATAACTTAACTTTTCAGACCAATGCCGATGCAAAGGGTACTGACCGTTTCCAGAAGCGCTGAATGTAAAACCGGTTTCATCTGTGGGCGGTTATTTGAACTTCGAAGGGTAGTGCTAGCAAAACTGAAATGGTGGGCAAAACGCAGGAGTGACTTAGATTTGAGATGAAGGGCGTGGCGTTCTGCAGAAGCTGCTTCCAAGGAGTTTTAGGCGGGACCGGATAAAAAGAGAGTAAAATAAAGTCGATGAGAAGTCACAGTAGACATGTAAGCGGTATGTCAAGTCAAATTTCGTAGACGAAATCGTGTCCAAAGATATCCCTGGATGAACTGAGCATCAGAAGAAAATGACGTTAAAGTAGCACTAAAAAGCTTTGTGGGTTCTTAAAATATGAAAGCGGAAGCCCTGCAGGGTTCGGGCGTAAAAAGATGTGCAAATGTGATGTACATGTAATTCCTCTCATTTACAACAGTTTGATATCCGACATATTATGACGAATTATATTTATAAGATAACGTCAACAAAATGAGCCGTGAAACTCGGCATCTAAATCATAAATATATTGTAATTTTCGCACAGGAGGACCGTAAATGTGTTCAAATAAAATATGAATGCTGAAGAATATCAAATAACAGTCGGCATTTAAAAGTATGTGTATTACATTGAACTGTATTATAGATCATATGGCTTGTGTCCGATTCATCAAACAGAATAACCTCTGGCCTTGTGTACGGCTCCCCCGTGCTCCCCGATTAAATATGAGATTGAGCAGCACTGAACACGTTTAATCAAGAAATTGAGCTACCCTTGCAATTTGCGGTGTAGCCCCGGCCTGGCTGAGATTAAGTCTTAACCTTGTGCAACATAATTTCCTGTACACGACCACCAGATCAGACTTTATTGAGGGACCTACTTAGGAAATGAGGTGATGCAATCACGGGAGGGAGTTTCATTGAAAAAGAGAGTGCTGGGAGTGGTGATGGTTTTAATTGTGTTCCTCCTAGATAGCTTACTAAGCTGCTTAGAGAGTAAAACGAAAAGTATTGGAATCTTTTTGTGGAAGGTGAGTGACGGCAGTGCTTGGGTTTTATGACATGATTGCTCAAAAGTTCCTTTTCTGGTAAATCGAACCTGAAAACAGTTGACACAGATCAAAAATTGAAGCAATTGATCTTTAACGCACATAAGCGCTGATCTTCAACCAGGGATACATTTGGAAAGTACCGAACATCCTTTATGGATTACGCACCTCCTTCATTATACCGAGAATTAGATTTACTTAATTATTCTTTCTTCTCCCCAACCCTGAAAATAACCTCCGTTTCATGAAAAATGAAATCTGTCTAGTAAAAGTTTCTCCAATTAGATCTCATATGGATCTCCTTTTGCCTCGACCGGACCAGTCTGAAATGAAGGGGAACCAGAAGAGGGAAATAAGTTCATGGGAAACAAATTTAGGGCAAAAACATCTCGGGAAGGCTGTGGTGGAATTTAGAGACCTTAAGCATCACCTGTATGTCGACAGACATGTCGAGCAACGAAAGGCAGGCATAAACACGCTATTATGAGAGAGCAAGGTTAGTTTCAGTTTATCGAGCACATTAGTAGATATACCGAATATGGTTTAATGATTGGATACGAAACGCCCTACAAGGTGTCTTCACTTGATGTTTGCGATACCCCAGCTCTACTCGACAACGGCCCATTTAATTATGAGATCATCTTCCCTTTTTTAAGTCAAGGTAAACCCAAAAAAGGAATTTTTGAAGGAGTAAACATTGACGTTATCCATGATATTTGTGGGGGAGGAAAACATGTGCACCATTTCACTTTGATTTTGGAGGTGCGGTTGGAACGCACTATGCCATACTATACCAAGGATTTTGTCTTCTAATTGTTCTCCAACAACTAGTATTTGAATCTACCTTTATAATCAGAACCCATACAGTAGTAGTACTAAAGATATCATGAGACGGTATTGCTCAATGTTTTAATTGTTCTTTTCATCATGAAAGGTTTCCTGTAACAGTTTGAATAACAAGAACCTCTGTGACGGTGTTGGTTTGTTTGGATATTATTGACAATACAAACTTCTGATTATAGATGGCAGTACAGCACAAAGTATCAGATATCGGTTTGGCAGAGTGGGGGAGGAAGACGATCGACATTGCTGAAAATGAAATGCCTGGGCTGATGTACCTAAGGTAATCAATGTTTTGTGTACCTATATTACTCAGATTTTATGATAGCCATTTTCACTAAAATTCTGCCTGCAAATAGGAAAGTAGGCTGTACCCCGATTCTTTTATATTATGTTATTATGACGGTCTGTTGAAACTTATGTGATCTATTGATATTAATGCAACGAAATGATAACTAACAACGGAAACTATTCAAAATTTAAGAAAACATGATCATACATATTAATCTCTTAATTTAAAACAATCACTAAACACTAAACACTGAACCACGCAGAGAGAAGTACGGAGCATCACAGACACTATCCGGAGCTAGGATCGGAGTGTGCATGAGTGTTACAATCCAGACTGCTGTCCTGGTGGAAACACTCACGGCACTCGGGGCCAGGGTCAGGTTGTGTTCCTGCAACCCTATGAGCAGCCAGGTGATTTAAAGAATAAATAAATACAAATTAAAGATAAATAAATAAAAGAAGCCAGGTGATCCTCAACATTTCTAGTGAAATGGAGATTTGTAGACTGAGATTTATTTTGTAGACAGTTTACAGATTGTAGTACAATATCGGTTTCTACCGTACAAAGGAATTTTCAATTTATCAATTTACAACCTTCTTTTAGGATCATGCAGCTGCAGCTCTTGCCGCAGCAGGGATTCCTACGTTTGCTTGGAAAGGTGAAACTGAAGAGGAATTTAGATGGTGCATTACCCAGGTCAGAATTTTATTCATTCATAATCTGGTGAGCCAATTCTCTTGCAATCTCCCAAATTGTGATCCATATAATATTTTAATGAAATATTTTATTTCGAACGAAGATCTCAATCTGTCCTGATTTTGCCAGGCAATTAACTTCGGAGAAGAGAATCCTATGAACATGATAATGGACGATGGAGGAGAACTGACAGGGATAACCATGATAACTAGACCGGACATCTGGGCGGAGATTAAGGGAATCAGTGAAGAGACAGCCACAGGTGAGGAGAAAACTTTTAGGAAAAGATCCATTTACAAATGGGAAAAAGCAAATTCTGTTATAGTAATATAAGCAAAGAACTAATGATCAATTGTTAAAAATATGAAGAAAATCTGTCGGTAAAATTACGATTCAGTGCTTATCAGGTTAATAATTTGAAAAAACTACCGCCCAGGAATACACAGGTTAGATAAACTGAATAGATCGGGAGAACTACATATTCCAGCTATCAATGTTAACTACAGTGTTACTAAAAGCAAGTTCGACAACTTATACGGTTGCAGGGAAAGCCTAGTGGACGGTATTAAACGGGCTACAGGTAACCACAAATTAAGTTTATCTTTATTTCAACCAGGAAGTGGCATGAGCTTTACTTGGATGACGTTTGTTAAAATTGTCCGGACTTTGCGTATCATGCCATCTTGTATTGATCACGTAAACTGTACAGGGTGATTCAAAAATAATGTTTGGATTTTAAATGGCTCTAAATTCAGAGTTAAATAAAAATGTCACTCCACTTTTGCATATTTAGGTAATAAAAACATATATAATATGTAAGTTGTATAATATGTAAATATGTAAGTTTTGCAACTCAGATATAATGATAGCGGGCAAAGTTGCTGTGGTGGCGGGGTTTGGAGATGTTGGTAAAGGATGTGCTCAGTCTTTGAGGGCGTTCGGAGCAAGAATTATAGTCACAGAGGTGGATCCTATTGCCGCCCTACAAGCAGCGATGGAAGGGTGAGTTATATGAACTAGCAGGAACCCGTATAACCCTAAAATGGTGTCAAGACTCAAGAGACTAAAATAATTATTACCTATTTAATTCGCGTTTTTTACACCACTTGGGGGTCGAAATTTTGGGTTCTAAAACTCCTATTCCTTTAACGCCAAGTGGCGTTAAAGTTGATGCCGTGGTGTCAGTAAAATGGTACGGATCCATATATTATATCGTCTCTCTTTATATATAGTAAGATAGCTGTAGAGATAGAGCCGGTGCGGGACCTTGTAGAGCAAATGTTAATCATACCTTATACCCCTTATAGCTCACTTACTACTTAGTCATATTATCAGTGCAACGATTTAGAATCGGCGGTTGAGATCTCCGATAATAATAATGGAGTGCCTTGAAAGTGGTCTGTTAATGATTGGATTAATTTTCATATGTAATTTAAATTGGCTGACCTTTCTGAAAATTCCTAAAAAACCGCCAATTCTAAATTAAATCGGTGCACTGTAAGATAAATCTTTTCTCTCCAGATACAAGGTAACGACAATGGCAGAAGCTGTGAAGGAGGGGCACATATTTGTCACAGCAACTGGTTGTATCAATATCATCACGGAAGAACATCTTCTTAATATGAAACCAATGGCTATCCTCTGTAATATTGGTGAGTAATATTGGTGAGTAATATTGGTGAGTAATATTGGTGAGTAATATTGGTGAGTAATATTGGTGAGTAATATTGGTGAGTAGCGACTACATTTAAAGTTATCGCTAGTTTGATATCAATCTTTTTAAAATTTTTATTTCAACGTTTACAAGGTTAGCAGGCTTCGAATTTTGATTTTTATTATAGTGCTCTTTCTTCGATTGAATTGTGAAGGCATGGGATGATCTCCAAATTGGGTATTAAATAAAACAGTTACACAACTTGAGACAGAATCAGTATTTACTCTGTTATGAATGATTGCTCTCATAAGTCATGGTCACCTTGATGGAACATTTTCTTTTATAGCTCAAAAAGATTCAGGATAAGAAAAAAAACCTACAGACTACTACAAAAATAAACTCACATTAAAAGCATTTCGTGGGAACAGACTTTGTTAAGTAACTGCAACTTCGCTCATAAAAATAAACCGTCAAAGCAAGACTGATCCGAAAACAAACCAGGTTGGACAAGAAGCTGCATCAGTTAAAATAAAAAAACTATCAATCACAGTAAGACACTCTAGATACTACCTGGCCTAGGTCCTAGCTGCGTAAACAGGAAAATAAAACTATTTTATAAAACCAACCTGGCACTCCTTAACCCCACCTGTTCGTAACTACAGTAGTCATAGTTACCAGCTACAATAGTTACCATGACTACCTTCCCGCTCCTCTTACACATAATGTTCACAAACCTCTGGACAAGAACCGGTTTTGGGGGAGAGGGGTCCAGGTTGTGGTCTAACCTTCCTAAACCGGAGGATGGTCAGGTTCCTCCATGAGAAGCTACCCTGAGATCTCTTCTTAGCCTTAGGGTGAGAGGAGCTCCTCTTGGGCATCAGATATACATCTTGTGGGGTGTTGTTTGTTCCGTGAGATGCTATGTCATGTTCTGGTGTACAAGAAGTTTACAAGAGACGGATCGGTGCGACAATAATCCCAACAAAACAGCTGTCAGTATCAAGTTTAATTCAAAAGTTAAGAAAGATTCAAGTTAAGAAAGATTCAATCGACCCAACAGTTACTTATTTCAGGTCACTTCGACGTGGAGGTTGATTGGAAATACATCAAAAACAATTGCGACATCATTCAAATCAACAGCAACTGTGACCTGTGTCAACTCCCGAACGGTAAATAAGGAAGGTTGTTCGTGGTGTTATTGTACTGTGCTTGATGTTTTGTAATTTAATCGGGAATTTAATGCACAATCTCAGCAACACCCCCAAAATATAGTGTCAATAAACTACACTGCACAGCAAATGGTACCTTGTGTGTATGATAGATTTGGAACAAATCTCATGACGGCTTTAAGAAATGCTGAGAGTTTCACATGGTATAAATATAATCAGGCTTTTTGGCAACTCCAAATATTTATTTGAGTAGCCCACGTACTTTGCTGGACTTAACCTTTATGTAAGCTGGACAGACTACGACATGTGGGTGATTTCTAGAGCACTGAGCGGATCATGTTATTACCTCATTTATGATGTGCGTGTGGTAGAGTTTGTAGTGTTGTAAACATGAAAGCACGTACCATCATTTCAACATACAGCAAGACCCTTACATTATCTTTAGAGGGAACAAATCAAAAAAGGATCTTGAAGCGAGTCAGTAAATGGAACTCGCTGCCAGACAAACAATTTCTCAGACAAACAATTTCTCTGGTGTTTACAATCTAAATGCATGATATTTATTAGGAATATTTGAAGTGGGTAGTGTAGTGTAGAGATCACTAAATATGGTATCATGGATATAACGATGTTGATCGTTAAAACTGCTGTAAATCGTTTGACAAGTTAAAGAATCGGAATTGAACCTAGGCCCTTGCCAAATCGGGGAACTTCCCCGGGAAGTAGCAAATAAAATTCGAGAATATATTCAAACGGGTCATGCGCTTTTTTGGGAATAATCCCATTTACGGTGCGGAAAGAGTTAGAAATGAAACGCATTATACAGATCACAGATGTAGTAAACTGACGTGAGCCAGGATTTTGTTAAATATGTTATTCTGCAGAGTTAATACAGGCAATATTCTGAGGACAGCGTCAGTGAAATATCTACGTTTTATAAGTTGATTGAAGATATGGAAACTCGTCACGTGGTTGAAACGTTTAGAACATGGTCCGGAACATGGTCCGGAACATGGTCCGGAACCTGGTCCGGATGCCGGAACATGGTCCGGAACCTGGTCCGGATGCCGGAACATGGTCCGGAACCTGGTCCGGATGCCGGAACATGGTCCGGAACCTGGTCCGGATGCCGGAAACCTCCACATTAACTGTATGTATTATGAAATTATGAAATTATTTGGTAGTGTTATCTTGGGTCTATTTTAACTAACAAATGAAACATCCTTCAGGAAACAAAGTGGTGGTGCTGGGAAAAGGAAGGATCGTGAATCTAACATGTGCTCAGGGACACCCCAGTTTCGTCATGAGCACTTCCTTTACTAACCAAGTGTTGGCTCAGGTAGAAGATTATTTAATTAATTAATTAATTAATTAGTAGTGAGAGATTGTGGTTTTACATGTTGGTAACAATAAGAAGGCAAGAAAAACAAATCTGGCATGTTGAAATATACCATTACTTGATAGTTAAATCTGCAGAATATGCGGGTTGAACAACAAATGTTAAAGAGAATAATAAGCATTCATTGTATTCATTAGTACTTCATATTTACTTTCGAGACAATCTGTTAAACTACTTCTGAACTACATAGTAAGTATTATTGAAAGGTCTCCTTGACTATTGCCAAAAAAACAATGAAAAAGAAATGTTTCAAGTTCATACAAGTCCAAGAGGCACGGTGCGTTCTCGTACTGATACACCACGCTAAGAACAATGTGGATTTAGAGTTAGACGGTACCGGTAGCGATAATTGCGGTGGCGGTTCTGTAATAATGTGAACAATTGCACAAATCGATTAAGGTATTCACCCAGGGAACGCCATTAAAATATCGATCGTGCATTCCTATTCTATATTTGGTGGTGACTTCAGGATTACAGTGATTTTGTTGCACATGAAGTTGTAAAGAACGGTGGAACTGATAATGAAGGTTAATTTTTTTTCGATAAGAAAAAATTGAGATGAAATAGATCTAAAATAAAATTGAATAATTAATAATAATAAATATAATAAATATATGATATATATGATATATGATATATGATATATATATAATATGCAAGAAAAAGTTAACGATAAGTCGATTTATTTCACAGCCATCATTGCACAACCACTGACCCTCCAAAGATATAACCTGGGTGTCTTCCACGAACAGTTTATGGTGTACTTACTACTTAAGAATGACTTAATAAGTACAAATTTAAGTACAACCCTTCGTTTGTCGTCCACGAACTGAGTCTTAAGTACAAGTTTTTACTTAAGTCGCATGATTTAAGTTAAATATTTAAGTACGACTTTGGGAGTTAAACTTATCTTATTATAACCTGGTGCCAGATATAACCACAAAACCATTTCTCAATGATATAAGTATACGAAGGATTTAATCTCAACCCTGCCCCCAACAACCAGTTATAACCCCAGGATCTTACCACAACCCCACTCAGATATTACCCCGGGATCCTACCACAACCCCACTCAGATATTACCCCAGGATCCTACCACAACCCCACTCAGATATTACCCCAGGATCCTACCACAACCCCACTCAGATATTACCCCGGGATCCTACCACAACCCCACTCAGATATTACCCCGGGATCCTACCACAACCCCACTCAGATATTACCCCAGGATCCTACCACAACCCCACTCAGATATTACCCCAGGATCCTACCACAACCCCACTCAGATATTACCTCAGGATCCTACCACAACCCCACTCAGATATTACCCCAGGATCCTACCACAACCCCACTCAGATATTACCCCAGGATCCTACCACAACCCCACTCAGATATTACCCCGGGATCCTACCACAACCCCACTCAGATATTACCCCGGGATCCTACCACAACCCCACTCAGATATTACCCCAGGATCCTACCACAACCCCACTCAGATATTACCCCAGGATTCTACCACAACCCCACTCAGATATTACCCCGGGATCCTACCACAACCCCACTCAGATATTACCCCGGGATCCTACCACAACCCCACTCAGATATTACCACAACCCCACTCCAGGTTGAGCTGTGGACGAAGACGTACTCCCCAGGAGTCCACCTCCTGCCCCGGATCCAAGACGAGGAGGTTGCCAGGTGCCACCTTGAAAAGCTGGGGATCAGTCTGGATACTCTCTCTTCGGAACAAGCAGCCTACATTAACATCGACCCAAACGGGCCCTACAAGCCTGATTATTATCGATACTGAGTTGTTAAAGTTGTTTTTAATCGTAGAGTTCTAATGGTTATGGTTTTATTAAATAACTGATGTTATTTGTTAATTTAGAATGAATAGGTATTATAGTAAGAAACGTTAGTCATTGCAGAATGCAGATATTAATAGATACAATTAATAAACGTTAGCAGAAAAAAAATGATTAAGGTTTGAAAATTAAGTAGAAATTCAAAGCATGGCTAGTATAGAAATCACAAAGGGTGCTGCAGATTTATTATCACGAGCTAACAAACTTTGTAGTAGTGCGTTTAGTTTATATTTGGTAGCAGTTTTGATTAAAATATTGTAATAATTTGATATTTTGTAAATTAATAAGATATTCTCTAGAATTGATATCATGATGCGAGTATATTGGTACCCTGACCCGAATTAATAAATGAAAGAATTGTACTCAGTGACCGATTTTGTAATGTTTACACTTCATTTTGAAGAGAAGCGAGTTTATAATGCAAACAAATTCACCTATTTCGTCAGACAAAATCATATCACAATAATCATAAACTTACATTGGGATCTTTAGGCTTCTGAGTCAGACGATCAACACCACTTGCTCTATCGCCGATGACCTGCGAGGGAGAAAGTTAGTGATCTTAAGTGATCTTAAATTATCCGTATCAATTTTGGCACATTATCAAGAGTATCTGACGTTGAACACGTCTCCATTATAAAACGGATCTTTGATAGGAATTTTAGCCTAGTGTATTTTTGTAAGTCAGCAGCGCTTGAAGCAATGACACGGATTGTTATAAACATTAACAAGAATTGCACGTGCAAGAAAAATTTCAAACCAGCTTGAAGCTTCAGTAAGTCTGCTCACCTTTTTCCAAATCTCCTTGCTGTCGGCAGTCTTGCCTCGCAGAACGTACGTGTCACCGTGTATTACCTTGTCACCTTCAGCTGGCTGAGGAGGGTGTCGTGTGAAACATCTCTTACAGGGTGACTCAAGAGCGCCTATTTGACTAACTGATTGCTACCTCTAAAATACTAGATCCACTTGAAAAATATCGGATGTAGGCGATTGATTTAATGTCAGATTCAAAGTATTATGGAAATAATGGAAGTAAGGGCTTGATGACATCAGAAATACGCTTTTTAGTAAATGTCTCGTAGGTTTTCCAACGCATATTACACACCTAGTAAACAAGCTTACCAAAGTAGCGACTACAGTGATGTGAAACTCAGTCCCATCGTCACAGTTGAAGTCCTGGATCATGATCTGAGAGAGGAACATTGGGTCCTGGACCACTTTTAAGTGTTGTCCCACCTCCTTGGTGAGGAGGAGTAGGTCGGTAAACAGCATCGCGTACACCTGAGGGTGAGGGAGGGTGAGGGATGGTGAGGGAGGGTGAGGGAGGGTGAGCGAGGGTGAGGGAGGGTGAGGGGGGGTGAGCGAGGGTGAGGGAGGGTGAGGGAGGGTGAGGGAGGGTGAGGGAGGGTGAGGGAGGGTGAGGGAGGGTGAGGGAGGGTGAGGGAGGGTGAGGGAGGGTGAGGGAGGGTGAGGGAGGGTGAGGGATGTTGGGGAGAGGGCTCTCTTGTGAGTGAAACATAGTTGAAGATAGTATCTGGGATGTGTCTAATTTAGAGATATTATTAAGGTACCTTTCCTACCTTGTGTTTCTTCTTCTTGTCCAGCTTGTATAAGCTACCTTCGTGTACAAGTACTCTGTCTCCTTCCTTTATAGGGAATGGCTGAAAAGTGTTCAGATGGTAATGACTAATGGTCAAGTTTTACTTAAGTGAGGTTTGATCATTAATACAGTGTCATTGTAAATAACGAATTACACGCCAACTTTGTACAGCAGAAAGAAAAGTAATAGTATAGAACGATAAACGCTCACTAACTTTGACGGAGGAAGAAAATATAAGGCGTTCTTGAATGTCAGCCATCTTCCTAGCTTCTGACTTCTTTTTGCTTGGGGATGTTCGCGACAGGGCTGACAAAACTGACAAAAGGGAGTTGTATTACAAAATGACAAAACAAAGTTAGTAGATCAACTTCTGACAAAACTGACAGAAAAGGGGTTTAAATAATAAACTCAACAGTTAGCAGATCATCTTTAAAACGTCAGAGTTATTGATTATGATGTTTGCGAAAGATTACGTCTTCAAAATGTCAGAACTGGTAACTTTTGTTTTAGATCATCTGCAGGACCGTCAATCTGCGTCAAACATAATCCATTGTTCATAACTCATCTATACTAAAGAAGTCAGTAAGCTCACCCTGAATAACATGACCAACATGTCGGTAAACTTACCCTGAATAACATGACCAACATGTCGGTAAACTTACCCTGAATAACATGACCAACATGTCGGTAAACTTACCCTGAATAACATGACCAACATGTCGGTAAACTTACCCTGAATAACATGACCAACATGTCGGTAAACTTACCCTGAATAACATGACCAACATGTCGGTAAACTTACCCTAAATAACATGACCAACATGTCAGTAAACTTACCCTGAATAACATGACCAACATGTCGGTAAACTTACCCTGAATAACATGACCAACATGTCGGTAAACTTACCCTGAATAACATGACCAACATGTCGGTAAACTTACCCTGAATAACATGACCAACATGTCGGTAAACTTACCCTGAATAACATGACCAACATGTCGGTAAACTTACCCTGAATAACATGACCAACATGTCGGTAAACTTACCCTGAATAACATGACCAACATGTCGGTAAACTTACCCTGAATAACATGACCAACATGTCGGTAAACTTACCCTGAATAACATGACCAACATGTCGGTAAACTTACCCTGAATAACATGACCAACATGTCGGTAAACTTACCCTGAATAACATGACCAACATGTCGGTAAACTTACCCTGAATAACATGACCAACATGTCGGTAAACTTACCCTGAATAACATGACCAACATGTCAGTAAACCTACCCTGAATAACATGACCAACATGTCGGTAAACTTACCCTGAATAACATGATCAACATGTCGGTAAACTTACCCTGAATAACATGACCAACATGTCGGTAAACTTACCCTGAATAACATGATCAACATGTCGGTAAACTTACCCTGAATAACATGATCAACATGTCGGTAAACTTACCCTGAATAACATGACCAACATGTCGGTAAACTTACCCTGAATAACATGACCAACATGTCGGTAAACTTACCCTGAATAACATGACCAACATGTCGGTAAACTTACCCTGAATAACATGACCAACATGTCGGTAAACTTACCCTGAATAACATGACCAACATGTCAGTAAACTTACCCTGAATAACATGACCAACATGTCGGTAAACTTACCCTGAATAACATGACCGACATGTCGGTAAACTTACCCTGAATAACATGACCAACATGTCGGTAAACTTACCCTGGATAACATGACCAACATGTCGGTAAACTTAACCTGAATAACATGACCAAAATGTCGGTAAACTTACCCTGAATAACATGACCAGCATGTCGGTAAACTTACCCTGAATAACATGACCAACATGTCGGTAAACTTACCCTGAATAACATGACCAACATGTCGCCTGTCGGTAAACTTACCCTGAATAACATGACCAACATGTCGGTAAACTTACCCTGAATAACGTGACCAACATGTCGGTAAACTTACCCTGAATAACATGACCAACATGTCGGTAAACTTACCCTGAATAACATGACCAACATGTCGGTAAACTTACCCTGAATAACATGACCAACATGTCGGTAAACTTACCCTGAATAACATGACCAACATGTCGGTAAACTTACCCTGAATAACGTGACCAACATGTCGGTAAACTTACCCTGAATAACATGACCAACATGTCAGTAAACTTACCCTGAATAACATGACCAACATGTCGGTAAAATGACCCTGAATAACATGACCAACATGTCGGTAAACTTACCCTGAATAACATTGATGACCAACATGTCGGTAAACTTACCCTGAATAACAAGACCAACATGTCGGTAAACTTACCCTGAATAACATGACCAACATGTCGGTAAACTTACCCTGAATAACATGACCAGCATGTCGGTAAACTTACCCTGAATAACATGACCAACATGTCGGTAAACTTACCCTGAATAACATGACCAACATGTCGGTAAACTTACCCTGAATAACATGACCAACATGTCGGTAAACTTACCCTGGATAACATGACCAACATGTCGGTAAACTTACCCTGAATAACATGACCAACATGTCGGTAAACTTACCCTGAATAACATGACCAACATGTCGGTAAACTTACCCTGGATAACATGACCAACATGTCGGTAAACTTACCCTGAATAACATGACCAACATGTCGGTAAACTTACCCTGAATAACATGACCAACATGTCAGTAAACTTACCCTGAATAACATGACCAACATGTCGGTAAACTTACCCTGAATAACATGATCAACATGTCGGTAAACTTACCCTGAATAACATGACCAACATGTCGGTAATCTTACCCTGAATAACATGACCAACATGTCGGTAAACTTACCCTGAATAACATGACCAACATGTCGGTAAACTTACCCTGAATAACATGACCAACATGTCTGTAAACTTACCCTGAATAACATGACCAACATGTCGGTAAACTTATCCTGAATAACATGACCAACATGTCGGTAAACTTACCCTGAATAACATGACCAACATGTCGGTAAACTTACTCTGAATAACATGACCAACATGTCGGTAAACTTACCCTGAATAACATGACCAACATGTCGGTAAACTTACCCTGAATAACATGACCAACATGTCGGTAAACTTACCCTGAATAACATGACCAACATGTCGGTAAACTTACCCTGAATAACATGACCAACATGTCGGTAAACTTACCCTGAATAAGATGACCAACATGTCGGTAAACTTACCCTGAATAACATGACCAACATGTCGGTAAACTTACCCTGAATAACATGACCAACATGTCGGTAAACTTACCCTGAATAACATGACCAACATGTCGGTAAACTTACCCTGAATAACATGACCAACATGTCGGTAAACTTACTCTGAATAAGATGACCAACATGTCGGTAAACTTACCCTGAATAACATGACCAGCATGTCGGTAAACTTACCCTGAATAACATGACCAACATGTCGGTAAACTTACCCTGAATAACATGACCAACATGTCGGTAAAATTACCCTGAATAACATGACCAACATGTCTGTAAACTTACCCTGAATAACATGACCAACATGTCGGTAAACTTACCCTGAATAACATGACCAACATTTCGGTAAACTCACCCTGAATAACATGACCAACATGTCGGTAAACTTACCCTGAATAACATGACCAACATGTCGGTAAACTTACCCTGAATAACATGACCAACATGTCGGTAAACTTACCCTGAATAACATGACCAACATGTCGGTAAACTTACCCTGAATAACATGACCAACATGTCGGTAAACTTACCCTGAATAACATGACCAACATGTCGGTAAACTTACCCTGAATAACATGACCAACATGTCGGTAAACTTACCCTGAATAACATGACCAACATGTCGGTAAACTTACCCTGAATAACATGACCAACATGTCGGTAAACTTACCCTGAATAACATGACCAACATGTCGGTAAACTTACCCTGAATAACATGACCAACATGTCGGTAAACTTACCCTGAATAACATGACCAGCATGTCGGTAAACTTACCCTGAATAACATGACCAACATGTCGGTTAACTTACCCTGAATAACATGACCAACATGTCGGTAAACTTACCCTGAATAACATGACCAACATGTCGGTAAACTTACCCTGAATAACATGACCAACATGTCGGTAAACTTACCCTGAATAACATGACCAACATGTCGGTAAACTTACCCTGAATAACATGACCAACATGTCGGTAAACTTACCCTGAATAACATGACCAACATGTCGGTAAACTTACCCTGAATAACATGACCAACATGTCGGTAAACTTACGCTGAATAACATGACCAACATGTCGGTAAACTTACCCTGAATAACATGACCAACATGTCGGTAAACTTACGCTGAATAACATGACCAACATGTCGGTAAACTTACCCTGAATAACATGACCAACATGTCGGTAAACTTACCCTGAATAACATGACCAACATGTCGGTAAACTTACCCTGAATAACATGACCAACATGTCGGTAAACTTACCCTGAATAACATGACCAACATGTCGGTAAACTTACCCTGAATAACATGACCAACATGTCGGTAAACTTACCCTGAATAACATGACCAACATGTCGGTAAACTTACCCTGAATAACATGACCAACATGTCGGTAAACTTACCCTGAATAACATGACCAACATGTCGGTAAACTTACCCTGAATAACATGACCAACATGTCGGTAAACTTACCCTGAATAACATGACCAACATGTCGGTAAACTTACCCTGAATAACATGACCAACATGTCAGTAAACTTACCCTGAATAACATGACCAACATGTCGGTAAACTTACCCTGAATAACATGACCAACATGTCGGTAAACTTACCCTGAATAACATTGATGACCAACATGTCGGTAAACTTACCCTGAATAACATTGATGACCAACATGTCGGTAAACTTACCCTGAATAACATGACCAAGGTGCGCCTGGTCAGGGTGATGTAGAGGCGTAGCAGACAGAACTGATTGTAGTAGACACGGTAGACTTCCTATGTGCTGAAATGTTGGGTTTGTTATTCTGCAGTCCGAACATGGGAAATATGCCTTTAATCAGGGGACATGATAAACGACCGAGTAAGTTTTTGAAGTAAAAAAAAGGAAAAAATCGACGTTCGAACTCATTGATTGTACGTTATACGAACAGTTTTAGTGTACCAACTATAATATCACGAGGTCAAAGACCCTGTGATCTCACATATATAACACAAATTTACTAAATCATTAACAAATTCTCGTATAAACTGACCTCGCGAGGTTGCTGCAGGATGTTGCAGAGGTCGGGGAGAGCAGGGGGTTCCTGCAGGAACGTCATGAACTCTCCAACATTGTGAAGTCTGTTGAACTCCTGGTGGGCTGCTTTCCTTCCGTTCAGATATTCCTCGTACTGCTGGATCAGTTCAGCTGACTACGGGAGAGCTGTTGCTTAACTTTATTCGTGTAGTTAAGGATTGTTTGGGGAGCAGTTTTCAGAAAAACGTGCTGGTTAAAATAATCCATGATTTAAATTTCTGATAGACTCCAGAATCGAGATGGAAACCAAAATAACCACATGCAAAGGTAAATCAGAATATAAAAACAATACCCTGTCCATACTAAATAGCTGACTCACGTTCTCGCGGTACACCTCGCCGATACTGTAGATATAATAGGGCAGGTTGGGCGAGGTGTTGATTAGGGGCACCCGACTGATGGTCAGACTCTTGAGGACCTTGTTGGTGATGTCGGAGACCTCCTTGATGTTGTTGAACATTTTCTCGTGTTTTTCTGGAGCGATGAAGTCTTTCTTTTTCAGTGGCAGCAGGTACCGCTGCGAGAGGTTAGTTCTTTAGAACAAAGATGCACAAAAATATCTGAATATTAGAGTGATAAAGTCAGGTTAATCATAGCTAATAAACAGAGTTTTTATAACTTTTACTACCGTTAATTTTGTAAGATTAAATTTCCCCTTCTCTTTACCTCGATACCGAATTTGAGATCGGTGAGGTAGTGATCCTCACTTCTGATCAGGTCCTGGATCGCTTGTTGTCTCTTTTGTTCCAGAGGAGGTAAAGTCTCCCAGTCCAAAACTACCTGTATATCACTCAGGTTAGCCAAGTTAAAAAGTATGAGTAAGTTAATCAGATGGATAGTGCTGGATAGTCGAGTATGACCTACAAAGAGCCTTACTAGCGTAACTTAACAATCCTTCTGATAGGTTGGCTTTAGAACCGTAAATAAGAGTCCTAACATGATGACGTCACTTCCACAGGGTGAACTTGGATCAGTATTTAAACTTAAAATAATTAATGTAAGAGAAAGGGCAGAATTGTGTACATACCGGAGGTAAACTAGTGTGGTCCTTGTCTTTAGCTCCGTTCATGAGATCGGGCGTGTAGCAAGGGTTGGACAGCATATCTCGTGGAGCTTGTTGTACCACCTGCGGATAAGGTTAGAGGTTGATCATCACAATATGCAATGTATCTAAGATAAACCGTTAAAGAACGCGAACTATATAATATACTAATATATAATAAGATACTTGTACTACAAGATATATTAACTCAGCATGATAACAAATGGGGATATACTAGAGAGCTTGCCACCCCAAGGGGTATCTTCCATGCAGAGATAGAAAGCATATCAATCTATAGATCAGGACTTACCATTTCGACTGAGTCACCACACTGTCGGAGCAGTTTGCTAACATAGGCGCAGGACAGGTCGCTCACCTAAAGGAAATGAACGACTATGTCAAAGGATTTCATTTTTAATATAATAAAATCTAATGCTTTGGCAGCATATATTAAAGCAAATTATAGAAAGTAGACTTTTCTTCTCCCATAGGATATTTTAGATGACGTCTAAAAACTAATTAACTAAAAAGAAGACAACTTCTCAAGGGAGTATAAAGTTGACAAGTTGATGTGTGCACCTCTTTCCCATTGACAGCAAGAATCATGTCCCCTTTGAGGAGGCCCCCAGCAGCTGCCGGACCACCGTTTTCCACACTCGTCACTATGACGGGGCCATCGCTGACAACTGCGAAACCGAGCCCCTTCGCGTTGCGCTGGATTTTAACAGGTCGCTTGTCCGCCGCCAGAGAAATCTTGTTTGTGCTCACGACTGCAGGAATTTGGAGGAATTTGAGTAAAAGCAACTCATCAATAGAATATCAACTGAAAAATAACTAAAATACTGATATAAATTAAAATTTTTAGGGCCAGGGCTGTTACTGATATCGTATGATGCTCAAATATAAGCACAGAGGAACGTCTCCAGACCAGTCCAGGTTCCTTAAAATGCATTTGTCCAAAGTTGAGATTCTGCGTAACATGATATGTACAGAATAGAGCCAAATGCCGGAAATTAACTAGTCCAGTTCTTTTGGGTTTTACGGACTGAGATCAAACTGTAGACAGGAAAACCTTTGCGGGATTTGAAGAGAACACCCATCACTCCAAGAAGTTTTAAGTATTTGACGAAGCCTCTCTTTCCCTTAAACTCGACAGCTAGAGTAAATCATTCAAGTGAGTTTGGATTCTGAGAAACATTCTAATATTCCTATTTCTCTATAGCATCCTTGATTCTGGAGCATGATTCTAATTCACAGCCAGTCTTGTGACCAGTACGTGGGATAAGATATGCTGATCGTACGTGCTTATTAAAGTCTTCTATCATAGAGATTGGAGGAGGGAACAGGTGCCCGAATAACTGCAATAATTGCAATCAGTGTTACCCCTGCCACCTGATAATCGTAAAACCGTTTATCTGTAGGTTTGTCAGGCATTAAGTTAATTTTTACAGCCCTCATCAGTCTTAGAAGGTAATTATGGGAATTTCTCAGAATTCCTCAAATTCTAAGGTTGATAAAGAGGAAATATGGAACCAACTGGAATAAAAAGGGTCGTGGCTGGAGTCAATAAGTGGTGAATCGTGTAAAGAGCACGGCCATTATAGAGCACGACCATTATAGTAGTCTCGACAATGACGTGGTGCATTAACGGGGAAGCCCCCGTACTTATCCCTCCTTATTCTTAACAACCTCTTTATACTATGGGCAGCCAAAAATCTTGTTTAAAAAAATAATCTGTCTTATAAATGTTAGGTGATTACATATTGCATTTACAATAACAAACGTTTTCGTAATTTATGCAAACCCACCGTGATTCTTGACAGGTTGAACGCAACGAATGTTGCTCCTCTCAGCTTCAAGGTCATCAAGAAGATAATACCAACCATTTACTGACTGCAAAAATATCACATTTCATAATCTTCGATATGTGGTGGATATAAACCTACACACTTTGTTAAAAACGAATTTAGAAACATGTCAGTTTAAGAACAAGGAACGTAGTTAAGAAATATTATACCGTGTTGGGTTTGGCATATTCGTCGATTGAGAAGGACATTCCTCCACAAGAGTAGTCCCTGAAAAAGGTTTTATTGATGAAATCACGCTCAAATATCAAAAGCTCTTGAATAGCTTGCAACTTTTCTAATTTTTATGTTGCAAAATCCAAAATGCAGAAAATACACGGCAAATTATGTGATTGTGCAGTCAGCGCAACTGAATGATCCGCACTATTGCTGCGAATTTCCCCGAGTAAATACCATTTAGTAAATAAATACCATTTAGTAAATACCATTTAGTAAATATCATTTAGTAAATGACCCATAGTTTGATACGTTAAACCCCGATAAAAACGTATTTCCAAATCTCACGATCAGTCAACCGTCTGTTGTCAATATCGTTCCTTCAATCTAGCGTTATATTAGCCGTAATGGCGGCAGTGGCGTAACGAAGGGCCCCGCTGTGCGGGGGGCGCCATCTTAGGTGGGCGACAACAGGCAACGTTACACCACCGAATGGTGGACGTAGCCGGTAGCATCTTTACTTAGGTATCGAGGTAGAGCACTAACAGACAAGCTCACTTACTCAACATCCCCCTGATTCCAGAGTGACACAAGCAGTCTCTGCGAACTGTCTCCTTCTTCAATCTTACTGTGGAAATTTAGTAGTTGAAGAAAACTAGGATGTTTAACTTTTAACAATTAATACACTGTGAGTGCTTTCAAGTATGTTAATAAAAATCTGACTTTCATCATTAATTGGAAACAAACTGTATTCCTCAAAAGTTGTAGGCAAAATCTCACGATTTTCATGGTATGGTGATTTTACTTACTTAACACTTTCGCTAAAAAAGTCGTGATATGAGATGAAAATTTACACAAGAATACATAAAATTAAGACTTACACGAGGAAGGTTTCTCTGAAAGCAGGCTCCTTTGTGTTGGTAGCTACCTTTGTCTGGTGCTCCACTAGAGGTACACCTCCTTCCCCACTCGGGATCAAGGAAATCTAGTGATGAAGTTGTTAGCTTAGTTCTGATATTAATTTTGAACTTAATCAAATGGTTTAAAGAAACATGTATTCAACTTAACACAATGGTTAAGAGTAAGTTAAATCGTAAAATAACAGTTTGTTTACCTTAACATAAGGGTTGGAAGATGTGTCCGAACTCGGCACGTGAACATCGCATGCTTCAAGAACTGAAAACAAAACATTTTACAGCTTCTATGACATGTAACACACATCATAACGTATAATACACACTTCACAGTAGAGACTCTGATCTTATATATTATTGTGTTATTGTATCAAATAATCTTAGTGACGACAGAACATGTTAACCACAATAACAGCGCGTTAAGCAACGCGCCGAAATGATCAATTATGGATATTGTAAATATCCATTGTAATTGTAATCAAAAGTGGGTTCCAGATTAATGATCCTACATGGCATTATATTGATGATATACAATTTATCATTAAATTGAATGTAGAAGATTTGTTGTACGATTAAATTGATATCAAGTATCAAACATTATCAATTAATTCAAATTAACTTAATATTCCATGCTATCCATCAACGTAAGAAATGACACGCTAAGACTTTAATCACAGAAAATGACATCGCGCGTTCCGTCAAGTCAGGAAATTTTTCCTGTGTTTAAGCATGCACCAACGCTCGTAGCATGGCATAAATAGTCACGGAAATCGGACGTATTTTTAATAATGCCCACCATTCTGCATAAATTTCATTAAGCACTGTGTGCACATTATGTCTTATTAGTCATTTCATTAGAAGCGCACTACACACCAAGCGCAGTACACTACGCTGGCCACTGAAAAGTAGAGAACAGGTGGCGCGTGAAGTTCAGTTCTTACTCTCCGAATTCAGAACATTTACAGTAGTTAACAAAATATCGAATCAAATTTCTCGGGAAATTAGCATTTTAAAAACGTCACATTTTCACACCGCAAGTAAATTAGCCACACGGAATGTCAATACCTCTCGGTTCACCTCCACTCCACACAGTTAAAAGAACACTGCGTGAGGTACATTGCACTTTAGATCGAGGTATTGGACCCTGGCAAATGCAATCCAATTATCTAGCAACCGACTAGATCTCGACAGGTTTTAGACATGTTCTTAGCTCCTTCAAGTCAAGTCTGACAAGGTATGACGCAAATACTTAAATAGAGCGAGCTGGAGCAAGTCAATATGGAACATCATGTAATAACTGCACCTTAATTGTGATCATTACAAATCATTTGCAGCCAGGGTTACGCCTACGGTTGCTAAGAACAGATGCCAGATCTGTAGCAGAATAATCTGGAGAGCAATTCTGTAGAATTATAACTTTATAGGTAAGGTTATAATTACCTAACTACCACGACTTGGAAGATGCTAACTTATTTGACACGTGACAGTTGGCATGTTATTTTATTGGTCCCAGGGAGTAACTTAAGCTATGTAACTGCACAATATTGGGAGTAGACATTTAGTTTAGTATTGTAATTTATTTTACTCACTAGATACAATGAGAGAATCAGAGTCGTACGATAAAGCTAGTCTTAGCTTTCCTGAAATTATTATAAGTTGTAATGATATGTTGGATAGGCAGTATAGTAAAACCCGATGCCTGTCATTATAATTATTTTAAGTTAATTTAACGTTAGGTAGTCATGAGTGAATAAAAAAGTTTTCTATCAGATGATACACAATTTGAAGACAATTATGAGAAGTTTTAAGTTGTTATCAAATCACAAAAGCAAAATAATGTTATTATTGGAATTCATGCTTGATAATCATAATATTGTTATTCACTTTTATTTTACAAACTTATCGTACCTTTATTCTCGGGCGGGGCTACATTTTCGGATGATTTGGAGGAGGCAACGGATGTTTCTTCTTTTGATGTTTCAGTTAAACTTTCTGAAATTACAGAGAATATTTAAAGGGAATTGTTTCAAACTTTACTTTATTTTCGAGGTGAAGATATTTAGGTTTGGGCCTTTAGAGAATGTAAGGGTTGGGTAGAATGTAAGGGTAGGGTAAGATGTTTTGTTTCTGGTAGGATATAATTTCATGCGAGAGGTGGGGTTAAATCTCAGTAGGTTAAAAATGGTGCACCGTTTAAAATTATTTCAACGGATAAGGAGAGAAAATTAATCTATTTATAACATAACATGGGCTTTAAGAAACTGAGGTTGTGGGCACTTTGATGACAATAAGTATTATAAAATTGGCTACCTTAATTTAAGGGGAAATTCCATCTATGGCTGATGAAAATGTTAATTAACTCCATATATGTAGATGAGTGACTATAGTAAAAATCCGAATTTAGGTTCGTCAATATCTTTCCAGCAGTTTCCTATTTTCTTCTAATAATCTGAGTTAGCATTAACCTGCCTCAGCAGTCGTCTAAGATTTTAATCGTACAATATTAAACAGGTCAATATATTCCTCCTTTTGTCTTGCCAAGTTTAATCCGATCGTTAGGTCTGATAACTCCTGGACGTCCAGACAAACTAGGCAAAGAACAATAGACAATGTTCTCTCCTTTACATTACTAGAGAGCTGCTAATAACTGCTCGCTCTCTCTAGCACAGCACACTGATAAGATCCCATGTGACAGCTCTCTCTCTCTCTCTCTCTCTCTCTCTCTCTCTCTCTCTCTCTCTCTCTCTCTCTCTCTCTCTCTCTCTCTCTCTCTCTCTCTCTCTCTCTCTCTCTCTCTCTCTCTCTCTCCTCTCTCTCTCTCTCTCTCTCTCTCTCTCTCTCTCTCTCTCTCTCTCTCTCTCTCTCTCTCTCTCTCTCTCTCTCTCTCTCTCTCTCTCTCTCTCTCTCTCTCTCTCTCTCTCTCTCTCTCTCTCTCTCTCTCTCTCTCTCTCTCTCTCTCTCTCTCTCTCTCTCTCTCTCTCTCTCTCTCTCTCTCTCTCTCTCTCTCTCTCTCTCTCTCTCTCCTCTCTCTCTCTCTCTCTCTCTCTCTCTCTCTCTCTCTCTCTTCTCTCTCTCTCTCTCTCTCTCTCTCTCTCTCTCTCTCTCTCTCTCTCTCTCTCTCTCTCTCTCTCTCTCTCTCTCTTTCTCTCTGAAGTTGGCGTGTGCTGTGCTACTAACAAACAAATTTAGATGCCGTTTTGTTGATTGTGATAATCTCAAGCTCTCAAGATGTTATCATTGTTAAACTATAACTGTGAAATCGCCAGAGAGCTGAAGACAGGCCTTAATATAAATCACTGGAGCTGGTGTATAATTAACAATTATACAAATGTGTCGTGTACGTGTAGAGCCTTGGAGACCTGACTTGAGAGAGAGAGAGAGAGAGAGAGAGAGAGAGAGAGAGAGAGAGAGAGAGAGAGAGAGAGAGAGAGAGAGAGAGAGAGAGAGAGAGAGAGAGAGAGAGAGAGAGAGAGAGAGAGAGAGAGAGAGAGAGAGAGAGAGAGAGAGAGAGAGAGAGAGAGAGAGAGAGAGAGAGAGAGAGAGAGAGAGAGAGAGAGAGAGAGAGAGAGAGAGAGAGAGAGAGAGAGAGAGAGAGAGGGGGTGTGAAAATCAACCGACATACACCATACACAGTGGGTTATTATTGACACTCTTAAAAGGTTGTCTCAATGACATTAAAATATTAATATAATGCCACATCAATGTTACCCACAGCAACTTACTCACTCTAGTCAAATTCTCCTTGTCAATTAAACATTATACCCCATTACTCCTGCACGTGAACTTGCCAAATAAAAACGAAGGTAATAGTTACACGGGGTTTCCATGAGCGTATATTTTCGCGTATTCGTATACAGATCCGCAGATGTTATGCTCTGTCCGTCTACGATCGTGGCAGGGTAGACAGTAAAGTGGCAGGGTAGACAGTAAAGTAGAGTAGACAGTAGGGTAGACCGTAAGGTAGGGTAGACAGTAGGGTAGACAGTAGGGTAGACAGTAGGGTAGACAGTAGGATAGACAGTAGGGTAGACAGTAGGGTAGACATTAGGGTAGACAGTAGGGTAGACAGTAGGGTAGACAGTAGGGTAGACAGTAGGGTAGACAGTAGGGTAGACAGTAGGGTAGACAGTAGGGTAGACAGTAGGGTAGACAGTAAAGTAACCAGAAGGATTTCCGAAGGGGTATCATCCATGCTGTCAAGTATCCGGTTCCTAGGATAGGTAGTACCGGCTTATCCTGCCTGATTATCCCTTAAATTGGGGAGCCAGCTTTACATAAACCGTTCATCAGTTCATGTGTTTGACGACTCCGCATGACATTTAAAGATAAGGAATAATAATGATAATCATTCCGCAGGATGGTTTCCGGTTGTTTATTAATTAAGCTGTGTTCAGGTTAGGTTAGATCAAGACGGTTATGGTATAGTGAAGTCACGTGACCTGTGTTTTGGAAGCCAAAATAACGACATTATGATGATATTATGGAGCCATCTGCCATCCTGATGGCTTTTTTAAGAACGTGTTTTCTTTAGAAAATGCTATAGAACATGCTTAGCTATCAATGCATTAGGCAGTCCCAGGAGGAAATGAACTCAATCAGACGCTTGATCTGGCGACAGGAATAATGATCAGAATATTCTGGAAAAAGTCTGGAGTTCACGCAAACCGAAGATTCCTCACGCATGAACACAAATAGTTAGTTTTACCGTGTTGAAAGTAGTGGCAGATTGTCATGCCGACCTCCAGGGGGCCCGTAACCTAATAAAGCAGCTCAAATTTTCAAACCGGCAAGATTGCATAGCGAACTGTTCCCAGCTCTGATATTATATAATAGGTGCGCAATATGATGTGTCCTAGTGTACGTACGTGGGTATTGTATTTGTACAATTTGGAACATTTCTATGAGTCTCCAGAGATGGTATTTAAAGTAGTGTAACACATATTTGGGATTATTTGGGCGTTGTAAGGTTTACAACAACGGTCTTGCTGTACTGGGAACACTGAGTACTTGCACAGTTACAAAAGAACAATACCATGCTATACATTACACGTGATTGAATGCAATCGGTCTTACCAATAAAATAAATAAAAATACCATATATATTTTCTCTTACAATTTATATGGGTTAAATTAAGACAATTATAAAACTTCAGGATAGCTTAGTTTTGTCTATTGTGTATAAAATATAAGGTTATACACTCTGTATATAACAGTTAAATATTCTTACGAACGGAACTCTCATTTAGGAGTCTGTTTCTCTGTTTTGAATATTTACTATAAACTTTTGTTGAAAGAAATGTTCAACTCAGTCTGAGACCGGGCACAGTAAGTAAGACCAGAACATAGTAACACTATCAGTGAAATATAACAAAATTTGGATTTAACAAGGCGAACACGAACAGGTTTCACAGTGCAAATGTATCTTGATATGCGCTGCCTCACACTACAGAGAGACTAAATGCACTGTGCGCATCACGCGATTGTATATTGTGCACGTTGTAAACTCGCGCACAGAGAGATGCATGCAGTGCTCACAAATTCTCACATACAAAATATTTCGTGCACATACGGACAGACAGACAGACAGACAGGCAGACACATACATGCATGTTATCTCACCATCAATGTTGATGGGCACATCCGGATTCCTCGCAGCACCAGCTGCCAGTACCATCCCCAGAGGGTCGGTGGGCTCATTGTTGCTCACAAGAGGGGTCATGAACTCCTCACTTTCATTAGAGATCTGAGTGAGATCACCACCATCAACTTCTGTTAAAGTCACATCTGCTGGGGCCACAACTGTAGGAGTCGGGGTCGGTGTCACATCAGGATCCTTGCAGGGTACTAGATCCTCCAGAAGCTGGTCAGTGCGAGGAGGGGTGTCCGGAGGGTCTAATGTCACTGAGGGTACAATCACAGATGGTGTCACACACGGTGGTGTCGGGTGTTGGGGGTTAGTAGGTGAGGCCTCTGGAGCAGGCATATCACCGGCTGGATCAACTCGCTTAACAGAGTCACCAGCCGGGAGCTTACTATCAGGTGCAACACGTGCAGCTTCAGGAGGAGAGGAGGAGGCAGTTTTTACTTGTTCAACAGCAGATTTTGCAGGCTTCGCGGCGGTTTGTGCAGGTTTCACAGGTTCTGTGGGGTTTTCAGGTTTCGCAGGTTGTATAGCAGGTTGTGCGGGTTTTGCAGGTTGTTGAGAGAGTCGGGCAGGGGTGGGTTCTGGCACAATCTCGGGAGGGCTCGCTACAATCTGGAGGGGGCTGACACTCACATTAGGAGGGGCCGCACTCTCACATGTCACGCTCTCGCTCTGCACTTCCACGTTCTTACCTTGAGGTGAGCCGGGTCAGAATGAGGTCAAAGTGGGGTCAAAGTGGGGTCAGAATGGGGTCAAAGTGGGGTCAGAATGGGGTCAGAATGGGATCAAAGTGGGATAAAAGTGGGGTTAGAATGAGATAATAAGGAGGTTAAAGTGGTGTTAAAGAAGTATGGGGCACCAGGGAGAAACAAGGGTAATAGGGAAATTCAGGTTTTTCAACTTTCAGTCAAAATTTGTGGGCCTTTTAAAAGCCAACGTTTATTTGAATATTGACTTTATCAACAGGCTTTGTCTTAAATAATTAATTATTCAAAACAAAGTCACCATCATCTCATTGTATTGATCGCCATGGAAAAGGAGCGCAAAGTTTCAATTCTATTTTAATCAGAGGAGCATACCATAGCTCTTCTTAACAGAGAATTACAGTACACATGCATACACGCTGAGTGCACGGTAGCGGCTTACATGTTAATTTAAAGAGCTCTCTACACTACTAGGCTGACAATGTATTATAACACAGCCTCCTAACCTACCAATTTCCCTTTGTACATAAGGCGAGCGTAATAGGATCATTCAATATAGTACGCTATATAATTCCTTATATAAAGGAATTATACACCGTGATATAACCTATATTATGGTATATAATTCATTATCCGGTATATAATTCATTTATCCGTATCGACTATCGTATAGCATTGCCCCCGTATTATGCAATTATCTATTCAGAAATAGTGAGACAATGCAATTCACCGTTTCACAACGTCTACTAGTTCTATATTTTGGAAGAGCGGGGCAAGCTGTGAATTGAGTGTATAATTATGTTTATAATTATGTTTATATTTATGTTTATAATTGTGTTTATAATTATGTTTATATTTATGTTTATAATTGTGTTTATAATTATGTTTATAATTATGCTTATAATTATGTTTATAATTATGTTTATAATTATGTTTATAATTATGTTTATAATTATGTTTATAATTATGTTTATAATAATTGATATCAACTATAGTATTCAACAAGCACGCGATTCTTAACAATTGCTCTGGAAGGAATTGGTGACCCAGTTCTGGACAAAGTGGCCACAAATTTGTGCATCACAAAAACATCAATTATGAAATTTTCAAAATTCTTAATCATTATTTTCCTATTTTTTGCAAATCCTAAGCTTTAGCTATATTGATTCTCAGACATTCTTTCTTGCTTAAGAAATTGCTATTTTAAGAAATTTTAAATTCACAATTTTATAACCAATAGAAAGACTTAAACCGTTCAATCATAGAGCCAAACTAAGGGCATGTAATTAACATTATCTAAACGGGTAACTTGAACCCATTACAATGCTTTACTTGATATGATCTACACTACTACACTATTAATTATTGATCTTAACTTTGTAACCAGCCATTTAAAGCAGTAAATGATTGTGCAGTTGTGCATTGTGCAACAGCGGTCGGCCAATTCAAAGGATTCAATACAAAGTATCCGAATATTGTAAAATCCGGATTGGAGTATTGTTTATGATTCGCATTGTTGTAATGTATTCTGTGTAAAATTATCTTTATCCCGGTTACTGCGACAAGTAAAAATGCTCTTATTAGGAAAAGGAGTTTACTCCTATCCGAATACTAGCAGTACTTTGTATTAAAAAATCGTTAAAATAGAACAGTAAACCTTGCTTGAACTTACACTGTTACACTGTTACACCCCCAGATAATAAAGTTCGCGATACAAAATATTTAACTCTAAGGATTCCTGTAACTTACACTGTTTCTTGTACCCCTTCTTCTTACTCCTGTTAGCCCTTTTTGGCCGTTTCTTGGGCTGATAGGTGATCCATAAAACCCCGAACACTGTCGACATATTGTGCAGACCTCGAACTATTATATTATATTGCGGTTATATTACAGCGTGTTTAAGGGAAATTTAACCGTTTATCATTTATAAATGATCTTGAAAATCTACGTTCATCTTTGGTTAAAATCAAAGCTCACAACAGCGTTGAGTTCTGAGATAACAACAGGAGCCCTCCGTACAGGCACACGAAAAGTGGGTTAAGCATTTGGGAAGCACGCAACCAACCCCGGCTAAGAAAAGTAAGAACTAATCAGTAAAGGTAGCTCAGTTCTAGTCTCAGGGAAAAGATGTAGAGTCGGGTGTTTGCCCGTGTTAAACCGGGCTGTCAGGCAACAGACTAACAGAGCGCTGCTGTCTGCTAGTGGCAGTATCAAGGTAGTGTCAGACTCTGTGTGTGGCAGTATCAAGGTAGTGTCAGACTCTGTGTGTGGCAGTTGCAAGGTAGTGCCAGACTAGTAAAAGTGGGGAAAATGAGCCGACAAGGATTTTTTTGTGTGCACGGGAAATGCTCTGAACTGCACAAATTTCAACACAACAATACGAGTACACTGTAAAATTAGAGAGTGAAACTCACCCTCTATCGACAGAAATAAAACGAAAAATGGTAAAAAACAACTTGTTTGCAGGGTCAGCTGTCAACGAACACCGGGCTACCAAATATATGGAATATGGAATATGGAATATGACAGTCAACCAATAAGCTCTGAAGAGAGTACATTCTTGAAATAACGAGAGAGTGTATTTGTCTTTTTAAAAATAAATTCGTCTGGTCTTACAGGACGAAGGCATTTGTTAAACTATGTCGGGCGAGTCTTTGCAGTGGAATTTTAGTGCTTCGCTAATGATTCCAGCACTGTTCAGGAAATGTTCAGTTTCAGAGGTCCTCAAAAAACTGAAGTTGGAGAAGCTATTGTTAGAGTTTGCACGTGTCAGATGTCACGTGACAATCCTGAAATAAGGGTGGAGTGGAAAGAATGCAATAGAACTTCTCAGAACTTTTTCCAATTATGGGAATTGGTAACATACCATAAAATAGAACGCTGAATGTCACAAGGAAAACTTCAAAATTGCATTCCAATAATTGATGTTAACCTGATTTTTCGGAGGCGTCAGGTTATTTGGCACGTATTTTTGAAATAGAGATTATGTAACATTTCTAAGAAAAAATGTAAGCTCAGATTATTGAACTTCAATAAAATGTTATCTTCAATAATTGAAGGTAACATTTTACAGAAAACTATGTAAGCTCAGAAACGGGGATTAACAAGAAATACAGATTATTGGTAGCACAAAACATGTTACATCCCATGATCACCGTCATACCTTTCACAGGAAACGGATTTCAGACAAGGAAACAAACACTAAAAATAAAACACAGAGTCCAAATGCAAAGCGGGCAATGCGAACAGCATATAATGCAAAAATCCGGGGAAAAAAGCCATAAAAATCATCACCCTTTTGACTAGCTTAATTCTCGCTCACACATGCCCAAATTGTCAGCGTTAACAGTCGTAAAAGATGTATTACATGCTATGCATATTATTCCAATTAGTAAAAATTAATCTGGTTAATCATAGTTCCACCCTGAGAGAGGAATGGAATGAATGCTTTCGTTTGGAGCACAACTTTCAGATTACTGAAGCAGTCTGCATTTTTATGTTTTGACTTCGATTTTAAAGATAAGTTTTTAACCTGAAAAGTAAAAAGAAAGAGAGAGAGAGGTGATAATGCGACTGAACAACCGAATGGAATGTCAGCATTCTCGGGGATGATCATCGTGCTACATAAGATAATATCTTTGCAACATTCATCTAGCAGGCAAAGACCAAAGTTACAAATTAAAGCACTATATATATTCGACCGAATGCCTGTGCTGTTGTATATACAGAGTAGTCACTAGGGGGGGGGGGGGGGGGGGGGTATATATAATCATGACCCCCCCTCCCTCACTAGTCAGTACCTAGTGCTGTTAGTTTGAAGGAGGGTCTGTGTTTGTCGGAGGCGGCACCACTTTCTTTGAAAAGTTGCTTGAGTTTTTGATTGGTTAACTGTTTATGATGCTGTAAGCTGATAGGTTAATTGCTGTCATGCGTCAAAACAAAGTAGCACCGCCGCAGAAAAACTCGGGAAAGTCAACAACACTGAGAATACTATAGCTAATTATCAGTTTGTTCAGCGTACCACAAAGGACTACTGAACATTCCGATATTGTACAAGCTTACGTAAATCATGATCCTACGGGAAAATACCAGGATTTTCATTGGATATTATTGAATAGTGACCGTATTATTATAATATTGACCATATTTTAATATTAACACTATAATTACCAGATATCAAGGAGTAACGAACAATTCGGCTACTGATCACATGGCATCAAAAGTCTCCATGAAAACGTGACGACAAGCGGACAAACACACCCGTTGCAATAATTCATCTGAAATCCTAGGAAATACAAATTCGCCTAAGCAGTGAAGCAGCATTCCATCTTGCTTTGATACGAAACTTAGCAGCAAGCTGATAAATGGGAACAAAACTGCAAGACTAAGTCTAATGGGAGTTGTGTAATTGTGAGATTTCCATATGTCAATTGACACTTCAAAGTTCGAAAGCCATACATTGACCCAAACATTCTGTACGTACATAGATATTGCTGTTCACTTGGCTTGGAATTCTGTACTTGACTACTTGATGAATTTGTACTGGGCTATAAAAAATAGAGTCTTTATATAAATCAAATACAACATTTGAAGACAAATCATCAGTAATGTTGGTTAAGCGAATCATGAGTCAGTTGAGAGAGTCAGATGTAACAACGTAACAGTTAAAAACATCAGGATAAAACTGAGCCTATTTTAAGAAAAGTTTAGAAAGAAAGTATGACGTTTGTTCGTGGACATTAATCCTTATACCTGTCTTAGGGGTTTTTAATGCGTGGGAATCACGTCTTCAAGATGAAACTCAGCCAATTTAAGACAGTTTTACTGTAAACTATCGTTTGGATGCTCACCGATCCTTCAACTTGTCTCAAGGGTACTAACTGCGTGGGAAATACAAAGTGAGCGGGTTAAAGTGAGCGGGTTAAAGTGAGCGGGTTAAAGTGAGCGGGTTAAAGTGAGCGGGTTAAAGTGAGCGGGTTAAAGTGAGCGGGTTAAAGTGAGCGGGTTAAAGTGAGCGGGTTAAAGTGTGCGGGTTAAAGTGAGCGGGTTAAAGTGAGCGGGTTAAAGTGAGCGGGTTAAAGTGAGCGGGTTAAAGTGAGTTACAAAGTGGGCGGGTTAAGATCCCTGATTCCCAAAATCTCCTCTCTGAAGGTTTTTGACAAACAATGACTGAGAATTATATGCCTAGTTTTCCAAGAATACGATAATATGAAAGCCAACTGAGTAAACGAAGTTACTTGAGTAGTTCTGTAGTTAAGGAGAGAAAAATCATTAGCACGCTAAAGGTGAGAATTTTTGTGATCAGCACAAATTGGACTAAAGATGTTGTGTCCGTGAATAAAACGCGGAAGAGAGACACAACTATGTACTAATAGCAGAAAACAAGTCCTACAGTTTAGCCTGAGCCAATTGTAAAAAACTGAGTTATTAAAAAATTATTGCGTCTAGACCAAAAAGTGTCATATTTTTGAGACGGACCTTTTACTTCACGGCATACGTAAACTCTTGGGCGACATCAATAAAACAACTCTTTAAATTAGCACAACACAACAAATCTGTAACATTCTTTGAGAATTATGACTTCTTATTACTTTATTATATGGCTTAGGCCGATTTTTACAGGAATTTTCAGTAAAATTTCCTGTTTTAATTATTGTAAACAAAACCAAAGTAATGAAGCAAGTTATAAAAGTAGGCCAGGAAGACGTATTATATAATGAGGCCAGGGTTGCACTGTCCCAAGACATTAACGCTACGCATATCTTGTGCTGTTGACAGCAAACTTTATTAATCGTTCAACGTGCGATTAAAGGAGTAAAATGATTGATAATTTGTAAATTATAGTTCGTGATGTAATCTAAAAACAGTAAGGACCACGCTATAGAGAGTAGCACACTGCCGGACCACGCGGCAAAACAGCAGCTATTAAACGGACACAGAGCGCACTTTCATCTACTGAATCCTCAGTTCTGACAGCGTTCCCATACCAGATCCAGCTCTGAAGGGCTTGTCTTCACAGCAGAGAGAGAGAGAGAGAGAGAGAGAGAGAGAGAGAGAGAGAGAGAGAGAGAGAGAGAGAGAGAGAGAGAGAGAGAGAGAGAGAGAGAGAGAGAGAGAGAGAGAGAGAGAGAGAGAGAGAGAGAGAGAGAGAGAGAGAGAGAGAGAGAGAGAGAGAGAGAGAGAGAGAGAGAGAGAGAGAGAGAGAGAGAGAGATAGAGCAGATGGATGAGAAAAGAAACAAAATACTATCAACCCAGCCCACCAAGCTATTATAAAGAGCAGCACACAGCTCATTACTGGACCAATAAGAGCAGGATTAAAGAAACCAGAGAGCAGCCGGACAGCGAGAACAACCCAAATACCGTGATACGTATCGTGAAATAAATGCGCATGATTAGCATCGCACGAGTATTATATAACTTTATATAACATGTACTGTATCCCAGAGCGGGATGGATGCAGGACTGTAATAATAATGGCTTGTCAACAGTTTCGGGGGTCACGTGACCAGCTAAACGGAGGACATGCATAATGTCACCATATTAATATACGTGACGACACATGGCGTCGTTTTGCTAAATGTGACGGACGTTATCGGTCGGTGGCACTTCATTAGGGCAGATTTTCCGAATATTTGGGAAACAGGAAATAGAAAAGCAACAATGAGCAAGGAATTATCTAGAACATTCTCGTTTCGCATAATAATGTTTTTTTCTAAAATTTACAATTGTACGTGCACGTAAATAGTTCGACCGATCAAAGGAGCGTAGTAACTATAATTAGGGATTTGAGTAGTTTCATGAAGGCTGCCCGGAAAATGACCATTTTAACTTTCCTCGTATAAATACGGGGGATATTC